CTATTCTATTCTATTCTATTCTATTCTATTCTATTCTATTCTATTCTTATTGTACCCTATGACTATTATTAAGTGTTGTCCCTGATGATTCTTAATGAATGTATCTTTTCTTTTATGTATACTGAGTGTATTTACACCAAGACAAATTCCTTGTGTGTCCAATCACACTTGGCCAATAAAGAGATTCTATTCTATTCTGTTCTGTTCTATTCTATTCTTCATTCCAATATTCTATTCTATTCTATTCTATTCTATTCTATTCTATTCTATTCTATTCTATTCTATTCTATTCTATTCTATTCTTTATCCTGCCTTGTCTCATTAATTGCTTGAGTGCGGCTTGTGTTGTTTTTTTCCTATTTATAATTTATATGTATTCTGAGTTTGAACGGAATTTCTTCCTTTTCACAACTGTTTGTAGGGGAGTTTTTTTCCTCCAGTCAATGATAATTGGACCTTTGAAGCCAAGTTGAAGGAATTAAAGGGACTTCACCTGTTTTTTGTGGCCTGGTTGCTTTTGTATCCCACCCTGGGTCATCACACCAGGTTTCTGAGGGAAAAGAGCATTATTCCCGCAGCCCAAATTTTGGGGAACGCGCCATCCAACCTACCCCTTGCTCATCCAACTTCAGCAACGTCTCAGGGACCTTCGGGGAGCTGGAAGCGAGACGGAGACACGGCAGGTTGAGCTCCGGCATGATGTGCTCCAGCAGCTTCTTGGGGGGGACGCCCCGGGGAGAGGCATGGCGAGCGGTGAGGGGCAGGGCATCCTCCAAAATGGATCCACGGAGCGTCCGCAGCTGGGAGGGACAGAACGAGAAGTCAAAAGGGGGGAAAAAGGACGTTCAAAATAACAGAACAGAGTTGGAAGGGATCTTGGAGGTCTTCTAGACCAACCCCCCTGCTCAAACAGGAGACCCTTCTCTCCTACTACTCCTAGAAATAATAAGAGTTGGAAGGGATCTTAGAGGTCTTCTAGTCTAACCCCCCCTGCTCAAACAGGAGACCAAAGTTCATTAAACCCTACACCATTCCAGAAAAATGACTGTTCAATCTCTTCTTAAAAACCTCCAGTGACTGGAGCAGCCACAACCTCTCTGGTGGCCAGCTGTTCCACTGGTCAATTCTCCTCACGGTCAGGAAATTCCTCCTTAGTTCCAGGCTGCTGCTTCTTACAGAAAAAGTGGTAAAACCGAGTTCGAACGCATGACCGACCGTTTTGCAGCTGTCACGAGTTAAGGACTATAATAGGCAGCCTCCATTAGTCGTAACTCGAGTACTGCCCTTACATCTTGTCAATTAATGATTGCTGAATTATTCCGACTAACAGAATACCAGAGCTAGAAGGGACCTCGGAGGTCTTCTAGTCCTACACCCCTTGCCCAAGCAGGAAACCTTACATCATTCCACACAAATGGCCGTCCAGTCCCTTCTTAAAAGCTTCCAGTTGATGGAGCACCCGCAACTTCTGGTGGCCAGCTGTTCCACATTGGAAGATGCTATTGTGTCACCCCAGGTTTTCTTTTCATTAAACTAGCCCTACCCAGTCTCAACACCATTTTTTTTGACATCGTGGCCTTGAAAACTGGATGCAGCATTCCCAATGTGGCCTTACCACAGCTTTATAAAGTGGCGCTAACATTTCATGTGATCTTGATTCCAATCCCTCTGTTGATGCACCCTAGGACCGTGATGGCGAACCTGTGGCACGCAGAGCCATTTGTGCCGGCACATGAGTTGCAGGCAAACTTACCTCACTGTGCACGCGCGTCCCTCACAGCTGATTTTCAGCTGGTTTGAAGCCTTTTTCGGTCTCCCGGAGGCTTGAGTAAGGCTTCTGCAGGCCGAAAATTAGGCCCGTTTTGTCACTTCCTGTTTTTCTGGAAATACCGTAAGGGATGAAACGGGCCTAGTTTCCGGCCTGCAAAGCCTGCAGAAGCCTTCCTCAAGCCTCTGGGAGGCCGAAAAGAAGCTGTGAGGCACAGTGCGGGTAAGGGAGTGGGTGGGGATTGCCCGTGCATGCGTAGGGGGCATGCATCGCCTTCTGGGTGCTGGCACGCGAGCGTGATCGTGCAAGCGTGCGCACAATTTTTGGCACAGGAACCCACTGCCCTAGGATATTCCGTGAACTTTCCCTTCCCCGACCCATCTTAAAGCATCCAAGGTTGAAAAATATTGATGTAAGGCACGGGTAGAGAAACTTGGCTCTTCTATCACTTATGGACTTCAACTCCCAGAATTCCTGAGTGAGCCATAAAAAGTTCCCCATCCCTGGCCTACTGGTTTTTCAGTTGTGCGGGAAATCAATTTTTGACTTGAATGGGACTGTTTAATGTTGTGCCTCCGAGGTTTGAACCAGGGCAGTCAGCAGATGTAGGCTCGAGTGAGGAGGAAGATCTGGCATTGAGATTCGAGCCTGCATTGCTGAGCGACGTTGAGAGGAGTCTGGGGGAAGAAGAGGAGTTGAATCTGAGAGATGAGCCTCATTTATTAGAAGTTTCAGAGGCGTCTTCCTCTTCTGGAATTCCCTCCCTGATTGCACCTCAGGTGCTAACTGTTAATCAGGAAAGTGTATCAGAGGATTCAAGCTGTGATGAAACTGCCGGATGCTGGCTGGATGCCAGAACTAGGAGAAGATTGAGACGTCAATCTCAATTAGAAAAGAGACGTCCAGCAAAGGATTAATTAATGAGACTAACACGCCCTTTCTTAGAGGATATAAGGGAGCGCACGACTTTGAAATCTTTGCTGGAAACAAAGTGAATCTTGCCTTGGAAAGACTTGCGTCTGATTTACTGCGTTGTGAGTTACGAACTTTACGGAATTGCCGGACAGATTCTAGGAGGATTGCCAAAGGACTCTGATAACAGAGCAACTGAATCTTCTGTCTCTGGTTTTGTTTACGTAAAGTATTTTGAACTATATAACTTGAAGTTTCATCTGTGGATGCAGGTGGGACAGAACAGTTTAATATATTTCAAGAGTCCTATTCAAGTCAAAAATTGATTTCCCCCACAACTGAAAAACCAGTAGGCCAGGGATGGGGAACCTTTTATGGCTCATTCAGGAATTCTGGGAGTTGAAGTCCATAAGTGATAGAAGAGAGCCAAGTTTCCCTACCCCTAATGTAAGGAATAGATGCAGCATGCAAGCGGTGTACAAAAATCTAAGTGCGATTGCTATTGCTATTTTCCTTTGTTCGAAGCCAGTTGGGAAATTCTGGGAGTTGAAGTTCACCCATCTCAAAGCATCCGAGCTTGAAAAATATCGATGCGAGGAACGGATGCACTCTGAAGCGGTATAGAAGTCTGCTATTTTTTTTTTCAGCGGTGTTGCAACTTCGGTCACTAAACGAACCGTCGTTAAGGCAAAGGCTACCCGGACCATTTGCAAGGCAGCCGCTCTCTTGCAGGAGAGACTCTGGGCATCTCCCACCTCCTTCCCACAACCCATAATTCACACCTTCGCCCTCCCTTGGTGCACGAGAGCGATGCCCACCTGGCTCGTGCGAATGATCAGGCGGTAGTTGTACTGCGGGCCGGCGCTTCCTTCCTTCTCTTCGCGACGGAGGGAGATGGCCACAGCGCCCAGCTGATCGTCCACCCCGAAGAAATTTTGATGTTCTGGGGAAGACAGCGGAAGGACCCATGTGTTTATTTAAGGCACACAGAGAAGGAAGGCGAGAGCACACACCCTTGGAACACGCAGCTGCGTTTAAGTGCCAAGGTTTCTCCTTTCCACCGGCCTAAAACCAAAAATATTTGAAAAGAGGAAACACAGGATTTTTTTTTTTTTTTTACAAAAAGGAAATGGTAATTGTTATAGTAGGGCCCTGCACCACAGGAAGTGGAGATAACGCACAGCACGAAAAATCTAAAAGGAAAGATAACACAAGGATGAAATGTATGTTGCCTAGATGGTGAACTGCAATTGTTTGGTCTTTTACTGACACTGACTGATGCCTTTCAATAAACCTTTGTTTGTTTGTTTTTACCTTTCTTCTCCAGTTGTGTTTCTCAGCCTTGGCCACTTTAAGAAGTGTGGACTTCAACTCCCAGAATTCCCCAGCCAGCATGGATTCTGGGAGTTGAAGTCCCCACGTCTTCAAGTTTCGAGTTTTAGAAACACTGCTCTAAAATAAATGAATAGTTTTCCTTTTTTCCTTCCTTCCTTCCTTCCCTTCCCTTCTTCTTTTCCCCTCCATTCATGGCCAGCTGGGGATTTCTGGGAATTGAAGTCCACGCATCTTTTAAGTGGCCAAGGTCAAGAAACACGAGTGGAAAAGACCAGTTTAAAAAAAAAAGGTTTACTGAAAGGCATCTATGTCACTAAATTCAATCTCAGGTTGGGGTCCAGCATGTTGTGGGAATTCAAAGTTCTTATTTTTAGCCTATTGTACCAAGTGGGCCATTGAATTACAGGTAGTCCTTGACTTATGACCACAACTGAACCCAAAATTCCTGATGCTAAATGATGCATTTATTGAGTTTTGCCTCATTTTATGACCTTTTTTGCCAGTTGTGAAGTGAATCATTGCGGTTGCTAAGTGAGTAACACCGTTGTTAGGTGACTGGCTTCTTCATTGGCTTTGCTTGTCAGAAGGTCAAGAAAAGGGGAATCACAAGACCTGGGATACTGCAACCGTCATAAATATGAGTCAGTTGGCAAGGAACTGAAGTTTTGACCGTGGGAATGCTACAACGGTTGTAAGTCTGAAAACAGCCGTAAGTCACTTTTTTTCAATACATTTTCCCTTGGAAAAGCAGGAGAAGCTACAGTAGTTGAACAAATTTCCTAAAACAAGGAAAGGCCAAAACGTGGCCCGAGAAAGGCCGCGCCAACTTCCACCAGGGTTACACTCTCTTCATTTGCTCCAAAAATTCCCCGATTTGGGGTAAGAAAAAAGAAAAGGACATTTTCCTCGTTTGTGGTGGACATGAGTAGAAGCTAAGAGATACTGGACAAAAATACATACATGGTTGGAAAAGAGGAAAAAGCAACCCAGAGACTTAAAACCTGAAATTGTTTTTTTGTTGGGGATGATACCTGAAAGTTATAGCAAAGAAAAGGCATATTTAATTATTTATGTATTAACTGCAGCTAGGATAGTATTTGCTCAAAACTGGGAAGGTGAAAAGATTCCAATAGAAGAAAATGTGATCAGGAAAATATTAGAACGTGCAGAAATCAACAGATTAACACGGTCAATTGAAGAAAAAGAACAAACTGAATGTTATATGATATGGGAACTATTTTATCAATGGTTGGAAAATAAAAATGGAAGTTAGAAATTAAATTCAAGAATATAGAGGAGGAGTTAAGAAGGGGGTCGTTATAACAATAAGAGATATCATGTATAGTAGTTTAAAATAAGGATGAAATTATTATTGTTACGGTATGGAATTTGTATTAATTAGAAATATTATCGCACAAGGTATTTGTAACAAGATGACACACATTGTTTAAATGAAAGATAGACTGTTTGTAAAAATAAAATACAATAAATAATAATAAATTTTTTAAAAAGATGGCTCATTTAACTCTAACGCAGAGAGGACGAAGAGAATGAGCCACGGCAGCTTCTGAGAAAACTTGTCATGTGAAAGGGAAACAAACTCAGGCAAAACAGAGATTGTTCTAGCTTCTATTTTAAAACCAAGGGAAGGACAGAGAAGTTCTTAGCCACACAAACATCAAAGTCTTCCATCCTGGGAAGAATGGCTAATCTGGTTAGGACAGACTGCTTTGATGTCCCAAATTACTTTGCATTCGAAGATTAAATCTAAGGGAAGAACTTAACTCCAACTGGAAACAGCTCCTGAACTTCAGTTTTAAACCAGAGATTATTTCTACCCCACTCAAATATGGCTTTTTAAAATGTCTGGGTTGTCCTCAACCTACGACCGTTATCGGCATCAGTATTTCCGTCGCTGAGCAAACCAGGGGTTCAGCGAGAAGCGCCTGACTTTACGCCTTTCCCACAGTTGTTAAGCGGAACACTGCAGTCGGTAAGGGAATCGTGTGGGCCTTAAGTCAAGCCGGCTTGACTTCGCTTGCTGGAAACCGGCTGGGAAGCTCAAAAATGGCGGAATCGTGAGACTCCAGGATGTTGCAACAGTCATAAGTACATGCCAGTTGCCATGCTCTTAAAATTCTGATCACGTGACCAAGGGGATGTGGCCACGGTCATAAGTGGCTGAACAGACCGTGAACTCACTTTTTTTTCAGTACCGCTAAATGAATGGCTGCAGGTCGAGGACTACCTGTGTTTCAATTTTATGAGAAATTTTACAAAAAATGGCAGTTCATTGGCCATTTTCCCTCTGCTCTGCTCCTCCAACCCATTCTCCCTGCCGCCCCTCGTTCACCTTTGCCGTAAAAATGCTTCCGGTAGTAACAGGCTCCGAGATCGGCATACTCGATGGCGTGCATCACTCGGCTGCTCCTCTGTCCGTAACTTTCACGGGGTTCCTCCAGCACTGAAACGGCCATGTTTGGACAGTGGAAGCCCGTGGGCAGCCCCCGGTGCTGGCCTAGCCCTTGTTCGACCTCCCCTCCGGCTTCTACCCGAAAGGCGGAACAGCTGAGCACCAGTATGCCTCCTTCCTCCTCTTCCGCCCCGTCCTCAAGAATCGGCGTCACGTCCGCTGTACGGCACTGCGAAGCTGCCGAGGCACCCGTGGTGACGTTGCCCTGCCTGGCGGCTTCCCGGACCCCCTCGCCCGGCTCAAAGAGGATACTCTGGACGTCATAGTGAGCCAAGTGGCGGCCCCACACCGGCGTGGCTGCCTCCGGTGCGGGAAGCGATACACTGGTCTCTGTCGACGGGGCGCCGCTCCCATCCGATTCCCAGACATCCGAGGCTGCCAGTCCCAGCAGGAGCAGGGGATCGCGGAAACGCCGGGCGGTGGGGCTGCCCGCCCGTGACTCTTCGTGGCTGTGTGCCCGGGCTCGAGGGGGCGCCATGCTCTTCGAGGGCATGCTGGGGCTGCTGCTGCTGTTTTGCTGGAACCCTGTTACGGATGCCACGGAGAGCGGCAACGGGGAGCTGGGAGCCCCTGCAGCAGTCGTCAGCTCCCCTTCGCTCAGGGTCACGTCGCTGTTGCTGCGATGCATTAGGCCGCTGCGCTGCGGCGACCTCAGCGGCGGGCCACAGTGGCCCACGAGCGGGCCCTCGCACGCCTGGGGCTTAGGGGCCCGGAAGTTGTCGAACGAGAAGGAGGTGAGTGGTGGACGGTTCGAGTGGCGTCGCATCTTGCGAACGAAGAGATCGTCCGACTGCATCGCCACTGGCCGGCGTGCGCTCAGGATTCCGGATCCCGCCCTTGTCTCTGGTTGGAGGGAAGGCCCTGCCGCCTCTCAGGCTCGCCAGCCAATCGCGGGCTCCTGAGACAGCCAGTGGTGAGGGTCAGATGGACAGAGAAAGACAGTGCGCTCCCCATGGAGAGACGCTTGCAAGCCGTTCGGGAGAGGAGCAATTCCTGGCGCCCTCTTCTACTCCACCGTTGTGAGTCAGCATGCTGCAGACATGGCGGTCGCGAAAGCTGGGAAGGGGCAACGGACCCGCGTCATCTTGGAAGTGTTTCTTGGACAAAGAAAAGAGACAACGAAACGTTACAAACAGGGTTGGAATGCACGTTGCATCGGAGTGAAGCACATCGTTCCCCAATATTTAACCTTATGAAAAAAATACAGACATTGCTTTATTTTTGCCTCATGTAGGCATTATACGACCACAGTTGAGCCCACACATCGGTTGCTAAGTGAGACATTGGTTAAGTGAGTTCTGCCCCCTTTTATGACCTTTCTTGCCCGTTGTTAAGTGAACCACTGTTCAGTTAATAACAAGGTGAAATGAATCTGGCTTCCTCATTGACTTTGCTTGTCAGGAGGTGGCTAAAGGGGATCGCGAGGAACCCCAGGACTCTGTAACCGTCATAAAAACGAGTCAGTTGCCAAGTGTCCAAATTCTGGTGCAGGTGACCCAAGGATGCTACAACGGTTGTGCATGTGAGAACCATCAGAAGTGACTTTTCCCAATAAGTAGAATTTCCCCTGTAGAATCTCCCTTGCATGTCCTCGGAGAGCCATGAATTTGGGTACTTTTCACATGCATTTTAACAGAATAGAGTCACAGAGTTGGAAAGGACCTTGGAGGTCCTGTAGTCCAACCCCTGGTCAAGCAGTAGATCCTATACCACAAGAGTCACGCTGCCAGCCATTCAGCAGTTCAACCCTGAACGGCTCAAGGTGGACTCAGCCTTCCATCCTTCTGAGCTGGGTAAAATGAGTTAGAATACAGTAGTGCAAGCAAACTGCCCACTGCCAGGAGTTTGATCCTGTTCGGTTCAAGATTGACTCAGCCTTTCAACCATGCAAAGTGGGTAAAATGAGGACCCAGATTGTTGGGGGGCAAAAGCCTGAGGTTCGGGAGGCAAAGAAGAGATGGGGTTGGCGGGGCCAGTCAGGATTGGCCAGTTCTCTGAACTACTCAAAATTTCTGCTACCGGTTCTGTAGAACCGGTCAGAACCAGCTGAATACCGCCTCTGATTTAACTCCCTTTGTTCTTGTTTATATTCATACTTATCCTTGTTGTCTTGTACATGTTTGTCAAACGAAGAAATAATAAGTAAAATAAATAAAAGTGTGATCTTACTAAGGCCCGCTAAAGTGGTATTAACACCTCCTACCACTCTTCAGACAGAACGCAAGAGGAGAAAAAGGAAGTGTCTGGGAACTGCTCGAGATCACATTTTTGCAGACGTTAAAGGGCGGCCTTCCGACCGAAACACCCCCAGGGCAGGAATCTCTTCTTGCTCTCTCATCCTCGGCAGCCAGCGGAGGAAGTGCAAAAACATACTTCTGCAAACAATCAAAGGAAAAAGGCCGGCTTACTCCGCCGTGGCATGTGATGCAAGCGCACAACCACCAACCTCCGAGCCAGAGGGCATTGCGCTTAAGAAGAGCGCGCTCTTTCTTCCATGACCCAGAAAATAAAAATTAGTGCAAGGAAATGGAAGTCGGCTTTCTAAAAAGCGGGGGGGGGGGGGGGGGGGGGGAGGGGGGAAGGTACCCTTCCCCAAAGTTGCGTGCAAGGAACAACCGACTGGGATGATGATGAAGCTCTCCTTCTCGGGTTTCCATAAAGGTGGCTATTTTGGTTCCTTTGCAATATGTGCAGACACGTCTCCAGAAATAAAATAGAAAGGAAAAATTATTCAGTTGAATTCTATTAAAAAAAAAAAAACAGGCAACATTTACTATTTACTACTATTGTTAGAACCCTTTTTCAACACTGGGAAATTTAGGGTGTGGTGGAATACAATTCCCACTCCTCTTAAAGTAACCTGGCTAGGGGATTCTGGGAATTCAAGTCCACCCATCTTAAAGCAACCTGGCTGGGTGATTCCGGGAGTTGAAGTCCACACATGTTAAAGTGGCCAAGGTTGAAAAGCACTGGTCTAAAGTGAACACAATTTCTACCTGCTTCATATTTGCAATCATCGCTCTGTCCCAGGGTCACGCGATCCCCGTTTTGCAAACTTTTGCACACTTAGGACCGTGGCGGCATTCCCAGAGTCACCTGATCCAAATTCAAGCGCTGGGCAACTGACTCCTGGTTGCAGCGTCCCAGGGATCACGCGACCCCTTTTTGTGACCTTCTGATGAGCACAGTCCATGGGGGGGGGGGGCCAAATTCACTTAGCAATCTGTGTTACTAACGTAACCACCTCCCTGCTTCACTTAACAACGGTGGCTAGAAAGATTGCAAAAATGGGAGCAAAACTCACATAACCAGAGGTGGTGAATTCAGCCGGTTCTAGCTCGCTCTGGAGAACCGGTAGCAGAAATGTTGAGTAGTTAGGAGAACTAGGAAATCCCGCCACCGACTGGCCCCGCCCCCATCTATTCTCCGCCTCCTGAGTCCCAGCTGATTGGCTGGGTCTTCTTTGGTTGCCCTGCACAGGAGAACGGAGCTGGAAAGCAGGTCAGTGGGGCGGGGAGAGAATGGGGATTTTGCAGTCACTTTCCCCCTGCCACGCCCACAAAGCCACATAGCCATGCCCACAGAATGCCACGCCCATCAAACCACACCCACAGCTGGGTCTCCTTTGGTTGCCCTGCACAGGAGAATGGAGCTGGAAAGCAGGTTAGTGGAGTGAGGAGGGAAGGG